TTATTTTATTTTATTTTATTTTATTTTATTTTATTTATTTATTTTTTGCTGTGTTACAAAAAGAGGCTCCACAGAGCCTGGGCTGAGGTTTCAATTAATGGAAGGGGAGAACAAAGGATCAGTCAACTCCTTTTGTCCCCTGGCTGGCCAACGAATAGCTAGAGACTCTGGAAGGGGAGGGGTCAACCCTGTATCTCTCCTGTGTGTTCTCCTCCCTCTTTCCAGTGGGGCTGTCCCATTCACCACCAGCCCAATTGAGTTTTCCACCCATCGAGGCAGGTGCATGGCATTTAGGGGACCGTCAAGCACAGACAGGGGCAACACATCATTGAACTCATGCACTTTCTGAAGGAGTAATACTTTAGTGTGTTTGACAATTTCAGCTTTCACCATCCTAGTTTTGATTAGGGCTGAAAGCTGAAATACCACAAGAAACGCTATTCTCACAGTATTTCAAACCTGGGTTAAACCAAGAAATGGCAGAAATCTCACAAGAAAAGCAGCCTGCCAGCATTTCTGGCTCTGTTTCTAGAGTTCAAAAGAGTGCTGATAAAATTCAGTAAGGTTTGGAGAAGCACTGGAACATCTGAATGCTTAACTAAATTAAACCTCCAAAACTTTGTGTGTCATCTTGTTTGTGACAATTTTCTGGGGAAGTTTGTAGCCCATACCTATGAATGCATTACAATCATCTGGATAAATGCTTTTTTTTTAATTTGTGACAAATTGCACACACGTGCATGTGTGTGTATTGTGTGTATATACATAAGAGAGTTAAGGGTATTTTTGCATTTAAATTATCTAATTATAAATCAATAAGTGATACCAACATGGGTTAAAATAGTTCTCTTTTATACTGGTGGTATTCAGCAGAATGTTTTTGACCCTTTTCAGAACTCTTCCCAATGCACCTGCTCTGCCTCACTTGAATATGTGACTTCATTTCAGCTGCCTTCAGCTAAATGCCTGAGAGGGTACATCTTCTTCACTATAAAAAAAAAAAAGTGTATTCTTAACTTGCCTTAGCCAACCCGCATTAACTAACTCAGGTTAAAATAGCCGTGAAGACACAGCAACTCAGCTTTGGTTAGCAGCTCGAGTTAAAGCTTGGAGCGAAGCCCAGGGTTGAACTTGAGTGCCTAACCCTAGTTAAAAGCTGAGTTGCTGTGTCTTCACGGCTATCTTAACCTGAGTTAGCTAGTGCGGGTAGATAACCAGAGTTAAGAACTCACCGTTTTTTTTGTTTTGTTTGTTGTTTTTTGGGTTTTTTGTTTTTTTTGCAGACAGAAGGTGTTTGCCTTGCTCAAGAGGAGCATTCTCAAACACCATACTGTCTCTTCTCTCTGATCCTTTGTCCCCACTGCTGCTCAGAACCTTGGTGTGATCTTTCATTCTGTAAGTTCCTTCTCCTCCCACCTTAGTTCGTATACTGTTATTTATGTTTAAGCATCTAGCTGCCTCACACAAAGGAATAAAATACTAGTCCCTTCTTTGAAGACCTTGGTAACTATGTATCTCACACAGTCCACATCTCGTTGTGCACATACTATTGCCACCTTACCAATGTTGCCAGCATATGCCTCCGCCTTGATTCCCCTCTGCCAAAATCCTCACCTGTGCCTTCATCTCCTCTCACTTTGGCTACAGCAACTCCCTTCTCTGTAGCTTTCCGGCTGCTATCGTGTGCAGAATCCTGGCACTTGGCATCAAACATACACAACTCAAGTGACTCCCCATTCATTTCAAAACTGCCCTCTTTATTTTAAAAAACCTTTGCAGGCTTATTCCAGCCTGTCTTATGGACAGTGTCTATTCTCAGCCATGCTCTGTAGCTCTGGCCCACCACATATGACAGTCTTTAGTTTGAGAGCCTTCTCCTCTGCAGCTGCAGTAGTTTAGGACACCTTCCCTTTATCTTATCTCTTCAGCAACTTTCCAGCTCATTGCAAATTTCTGCTGAAACTGTATTGTTTCTCCTTTGTGTCTTCATCTCCTTCTCTCTCTCTCTCTCTCTCTCTCACACACACACACTTTATTTTTTTAAATTTAAATAAATTTAATTTAATTCAGAGAATTAAATTTAAAAAACTGAAGTGTTTTGGAAAACATTCTTTGTGAAAGATATTATACTAAGGGCCCAATCCAGCACCTGCATCCATATAGGTGGACCCATGGAGAGTCCTTGGGGGCAGGGGACCCGCACAGATAAAGTTGCAGGACTGGGGCCTAAAACTGTATTTTACATTGTAGCAGAAACCACAGACTATATCATGCCAATAATATTTTTCAGCAAAACCTGAACAGATTTTATTCAATCTGCTCAAAAATCAATGGCACAATACGGCCCCTTGTATGAGAGAACACATCCTAATGGGAAATGCTTACCTGAAGGTTCTAGCTACCACACGTTTTACTGGACCCATTGACATCAATGAAGTCCATAGGCCCTGTTAGCCAACTCCAGCAGGAAAAGCACTAGCATCGCCTGCGGGAAAAGTTTCTGCAGCCAGAAAGCTCTGCACAGATTTCTTCTGCACCAGCTCTGTGAACTCTTGGCCCTTCTTTTGGCTTCTGTCAAGCTGCGGAGCTGGTGTGAGTACCCTATTTCAGTGAGAGGGGGCGCATTACACTTAATTCAGCCCCGAATTGCATTAAGCCCAGCTCCTGCCATGAATCTCTGGTCCCACAGAGGGTTCTATAGAGCCTGGGACTGGGTGGCAGATGAGAAGCGTGGGGAGAGAGATACCACATGAGTGGCGGATTCCCAGCTCCATGAAAAATGAACTGAATCTTGTGCAGAGCCTTCTCTTCATGGCTGATTTGGGGTGGATAATGCCGTAGTCAGGGACTTTTGAAAAGGTGGAATACCGACCTAGTCATTTTTCAGGGTACATCAGAGAGGTTTAAAAAAAGATTAGTTGATTACATCCTAAACTGTTTATCAACCTAGTACAGGGATCGGCAACCTTTGGCCCGCAGCCCGCCAGGGTAAGCGCCCTGGCGGGCCGGGTCAGTTTGTTTACCTGCCGTGTTCGCAGGTTTGGCCGATCACAGCTCCCACTGGCCGCAGTTCACCGCTCCAGGCCAATGGGGGCTGCAGGAAGTGGCGCGGGCCAAGGGATGTGCTGGCTGCGGCTTCTCGCCGCCCCCATTGGCCTGGAGCGGCGAACCGCGGCTAGTGGGAGCCACTATTGGCCGAACCTGCGGACGCGGCAGGTAAACAAACCAGCCCGGCCCACCAGCGTGCTTACCCTGGTGGGCCGCGGGCCAAACGTTGCCGATCTCTGACCTAGTAAATATTGTCTATAGGCAATAGAAAATTTTCATTAATGACCAAAGCATCTTAATAGATATTTAGAATATTTTAAAATGCTTCTATACAACCCCTGAGGTGGATCAGCATTTAAATGTTTTGATTTGTTTTTAATTACTGCACATTCAGTAGATTTTTCACCATGACTCATGTTATATGAATAATTTGATTTTGACATTTGTTTTAAATAAAAAGGAAAAAACGACATCATAAATTAAAGAGATGCACAATTTCCCTTTTTTAAAATAACCCCTTTTTTGAGCTATAGAAACACTGGAAATTCTTGCACTGAGATTTCTTTTAGGGAAGGTTTCAGTCCTGGAAATGTTATAATGTCCCTGAAAATGCAGGTTTATAACAGAAATGCTGACAAAACCTTCACTGCCACTACAATTTACTAATTCAGTTTTGGTGAGGAAAATTCACGGAGAATTCAATGTCATGAGCACAGGAAAAAAAATTCTTGCTTTCTAGTTCACATATTAGTGAAAACCTTTAATCCTGCTGTTCACCAGCACCACAGACATTTGATTTACATTTGTTTTATGTCACTGGGGAAAGCTGGGGGAGAGAGGGAAATGGACTTGAAAATAATTGCTCTCCTTGGCATGGTTTTCTGGAGAGGCCTGTCAACTAACTTGAAGTTTTCACTTCTCTTCCAACTCGAGAAGGGAAGGCCGCTGAGTGTAATGGCTTCTATAGTTCTTACATCTGTAGTATGTTACGCCTCACCTGAACAAAAGTGAAAAAGGAAAGCCCTCTAACAACCGGGCCCATTTACACCAGATAACAGAGAGGCAGAGAGCAGCCTGTGAGTGGAGTGGGGAAAGGTCAGCTATAGCAGAGTGAAGAAGTTCTACATGTTGTGTAGTTCTATACGTTTCTGTCGCTCTTGATGGTATAGGCAAGATGTCAGTCAGTTCAGCTTTCCTTGCACAAGCAAAGCTGGGCAAATCAGCATGTGAAAGGGGCAGGAAGATGTCAGAAAGTGCCTTCATTGAACTAGATGACTTCTTTGTGCTTGTTTGCGGTTCTTGCTGGATCTTCATGTCTGGCTTGATCTCAGCATTAGAGATTATCTACTCATCTGGTCGGGAGGGGAACAAAAATCTTACACAGAGCACAAAGTGTCTCAGTCATGCTCAGTTCCAAAGCCCACCCCCACCCCCATCCCCAAAAGATTTGGATAGTCTTAGGATAACTAGAGGCCACACAGGCTGAAAGGTATGTAGCAATCCATTTATCACTTTGCATATATTAGTGCTGTTCCCATTTGCTGCAGCAATAATTCTTGAAAATTGGGGAGGTGAGTAACAACAATGTTATTTACCCTAAGACCTTGGTACTGAGAAGCAATAACTGGGGGGCAGTTTCCTTGAAAGCATCTGAGGCGCTGGGAATAAAAATGACAAAAGAAAACCCCAACAAAGCTCTTGAAAAGGGAAACTTGTGTTATAAAGTAATAGAAATCTCTTGTTTAGTTTCATTGCCTCAAAGGTAATAAAATGCATTTTGTAATGATTTGTAAATAAACAATGGGGAGAAAAGAGGGTGAACATTCCAGATTCAGCTTTTAAAGGCAAATAATAGGAAGTAACAAGAGATTTCCCCTTCCCCCCGCCCTCCTCCCCTCCAAAGGAGGTTACTCTAAAGGTTTGTTGGCATTTAATTTTTGGTTTCTAGGAAAATGCCTGCTTCACCACAGAGTCTGTTTGTTCTCTCTCGCTCTCTCTCTTTTCCACATTGCTTATCTGAATATATAAGCCTGCCCTTTGCTCAGATTTATGGGTTGGGGCAGTGCTGTGTGTATTTACAGTCTCCTGACCTGAAGACCTAGAGCTGAACAAGAGAAGGAGGAAACCAGGGCCCGTTCCATAAACAGAGACAGATATGAGGGGGAGGTAGGAGGCATTGCTAGCACTTAACATTTTTAACTATTTGGTCAAGCAAAGGAATTAGTGATTAGATTTCAGAAAAAGAAAAATGAAAAACATGGATAAATATTTTGGGAGGAGTAAATTGTGTATATCTGTGTTAGGTTCTGGGTGTTTTCAATACTTGATATCAGGAAAAAATGGCAAGTTATACAGATGATTGTACAATGCTTTCTGGGACAAAATGAAATAAGGAGATGAACAAAATTTATAAATCTCAAAAGCATTTTCATCAGAACTGTGCAACCTTTGGGTTAAACAGAAGTATAATTACAGTTTGAGTAGGCAAATCTCTTAGTCTATATTTATTCAGGTAATTGCCTCAGATTAAGTACAAAAATTACTTGATTATATTTCTTAGTTTGCATTTATCAGATGGCTTGTAGGTAGAAATTCAGTTCAGATTAGCCTTATATTACAAATGAACCCTGGGAATTACTTGACATCTTGGATGTTAAGTAGCAAAAGTGGCAACAATCTGGAAAATAAATAAATTAATTAAATTAAATGTAACATACGTAAGGTCACAATATAGTATAAGTATATCAACATGATGAACAGCTTTGATGAAAATGGTAAACAAAACCACCTTCTCTTCCTCCAGCTTGTTTTACATAGCAATAAACCACAAACTCTATAACCTATCAGAACATGCTGAGATTTTATGCATCATTTCCAACTTCTATTTGAACATTTGGTTTTAGACCAGTCATGAAATATAAGTAATGGGGGTAAGTGGGGAGGGTTGTTTTTAATAAAAAGCACACTTTATTGTATTTAGTTACCTGTGGGTCCAAAACTCCATAGATGACATGATTTCATTGTAGGTTTTATGTTGGTTTTTTGACTCTGAACAAACATTTGCCATGTGTAATGAATCATAGAAGTTAGTTCAGGCTTAGCTGTTTGAGATGGCCTCATCTGATTAGTATGTATTACTAATAATTCATCAGTAAGTACGCAAATTGAAAGTATAATAAAATACAACTGTATTGTGATGACAATAATACAAAATTGATCAGATGAAGAGAGTTTTATATTTTTAATTACACTTGGACTGCAAGACTCAATGCAAAAAACAATAGGTTAGTCTATGAGAATTACATAAGGAATTTAGCATTAATAGAAACTGAATGAAAACTGCTTATTTAGGAGACATAGGTGATGACTAGCATGAAGACAGGTAGATAATATAATATTAAAAAGAACAGGAGTACTTGTGGCACCTTAGAGACTAACAAATTTATTAGAGCATAAGCTTTCGTGGGCTGTAGTCCACGAAAGCTTA